ACCGTACCTCCGGGGACTTTACCTGCAGATACGAACATAAATCCCAAGGAGCAAAACCCGAATCAGCTGATGGCAGTCAGTCTCAGGAATGGTAGAGATTTAGATAGAGGGCAGGAAATTGCACAAGCCAGCAAGAATACTACACCAGCTACTCCAGTTCAATTAGAGGTAGAAGAACCAACAGAACTCACTGAAGTAGTAGTTGAGCAGAGTTAGGATGAAAAAGGCAAAGAAAAGGAGACCGAGCAAGTTGCAGAACAGGTTACACCTCTTGAGCCAGAAATTCCTAATAGAGAGAAGCCAGCCAGCAATGCACCAAAGGGTGATACCTGCACCCTTCCCTCAGAGACTGGTCAAGCAAAAGAAGGCAGACCAATACAAAAAGTTCATGGAGATACTGCGTCAAATCCATTTGAATATTCCATTGATGGATTCCTTGAGGGTGATGCCCGGTTATGCCAAGATGATGAAAGATTTAATGTCAAGGAAGTTTGATTTTCAGGATATATCCACAGTAACTCTGATACAGACCTGCAGCGCAGTAGTAGCAAAACCAAAGGCCCAAAAGATGTCCGACCCAGGTAGCTTTACTGTTCCATGCACCATAGGGAGTTATGCCTTTGCAAAGGAGTTATGTGATTTAGGAGCCAACATAAATCTGATGCCGCTGACAGTGTACACCAAATTGGGCATCGGTAGAGCCAGACCGACTTCTATGCTGCTCCAGCTGGCTGATCGCACTGTGAAAAGACCAACTGGTATTCTTGATGATGTGCTGGTGCAAGTGGGGAAGTTCGTGTTCCCTGCAGACTTTGTGATTCTGGATTGTCAGGTGGATGAGGAGATACCCCTTATTTTGGGGAGACCATTTTTAGCCACTGGGAGAGCACTGATAGACTGTGAGACTGGGGAACTTAAAATGAGATTGAACGATGAAGAAGTCATATTCAATGTTCAGCAATCAATGAGGAGACCCAGCGAATATGCGAATTGCTCTCTAGTGGAGGCAGTGGATGTAATCCTGCAAGAAGATGATAGGACCCTAACTGTGAAAGATCCATTGGAGGCATGCCTGACGAATTTAGAAGAAATGGATGGTGAGGGGTTAGCTGAATGGGTTATGGCACTGGAAGGCCGAGGGTTTTGGTCAAGGGAACCTCAGTTCGAGTCCCTTGAGCTGGAGAAAAGGGTCACTCCTCCAGCCAAGCCATCAATAGAGGAACCACCCAAGCTGGAGCTGAAGCCACTCCCAGACACCTCAGGTATGCATTCCTAGGCCCTGATTCGATTTTACCTGTTATTATATCATCCTGTTTGCTAGATGTGCAGGTAGAGAAGCTATTACAGGTACTGAAGGATAACAAGACTGCCATTGGTTGGACCATGGCAGACATAAAGGGTATCAACCCAGCCTTTTGTATGCATAAGATTCTCCTGGAAGAGGGGCAAAGACCTTCCAGAGGGGCACAGACCATCCAGGGAACATCAGCGAAGGCTGAACCCTAACATGAAAGAGGTTGTAAAGAAAGGGGTGATCAAATGGTTAGATGCAGGAATCATTTTCCCCATCTCTGATAGTAATTGGGTCAGCCCTGTCCAATGTGTTCCGAAAAAAGGGGGAATAACTGTTGTGAAAAATGACAATAATGAGTTGATCTCAACTCGTACAGTCACAGGGTGGCAAATCTGCATGGATTTCCGGAAATTGAACACCGCCACCCGAAAGGACCACTTTCCCTTGCCCTTCATTGACCAAATGTTGGACAGGCTGGCTGGACGATCGCACTTTTGTTTCTTAGATGGATATTCGGGATACAATCAGATATCGATAGCCCCCGAAGATAGAGAGAAAACATCCTTCACCTGTCCGTATGGCATCTTTACCTTTCGGAGAATGCCCTTTGGGCTTTGCAATGCACCAGCGACTTTTCAACGGTGCATGCTAGCTATCTTCAAAGATATGGTGGAGGATATTATGGAAGTCTTTATGGATGATTTCTCCGTGGTGGGAGATTCATTCGATGACTGTCTTCACAACTTAAGCAGAGTGCTCAAAAGATGTGTGGAGACAAACTTAGTGTTAAACTGGGAGAAGTGCCATTTTATGGTACAAGAAGGGATAGTCCTGGGACATCGAGTGTCCACAAAAGGAATTGAGGTCGACCATGCTAAGGTTGACGTGATTGAGAAGTTACTGCCGCGCACTTCAGTCAAGGCGGTGAGAAGTTTCCTTGGTCACGCCGGATTCTACCGGCGTTTCATAAAAGATTTTTCCAAAATTGCTAACCTATTATGCAAACTCCTTGAAAAGGATCAGCCCTTTGTGTTTTCTAATGATTGTAGGTTGGCATTTGAGGAACTGAAGAAGAAGTTGACAACTGCACCCATCATTGTTGCTCCCAACTGGGAGCAACCATTTGAGCTCATGTGTGATGCCAGCGACTATGCTATAGGAGCAGTCTTGGGGTAGCGAAAAGATAAGCTGATGCACCCGATTTACTACGCAAGCAGAACGCTAAGCGGTGCACAGCTCAACTACACAGTGACGGAGAAGGAGATGTTGGCAGTTGTGTTTACTTTTGACAAGTTCCGATCACATCTTATTGGTTCCAAGGTAATTGTGTATACTGACCATGCAGCTCTCAAATACCTCATTGAGAAAAAGGAGTCTAAGCCGTGCCTGATTCGTTGGGTCCTACTGTTGCAAGAATTCGCCCTCGAAATTCGCGACCGTAAGGGCACTAAAAATCAAGTCGTTGATCATCTATCACGACTTGAAGGAGCTGAAAAATCAGTCGAGGTCGAAGAGATTCTGGAAACCTTTCCAGACGAGCAGCTGCTCGCAGCCAGTCTTGAGGATGCGCCATGGTATGCAAATTTTGCAAACTACCTGGCCTGCGGTATTGTTCCCTATGACCTTTCACCTGTCCAAAAGAAAAAGTTCTTTCGTGATTGCCGCATGTATTATTGGGATGAACCTCATTTGTTTCGAATATGTGTTGATAACATTATCCGGAGGTGTGTCCCCGAGATAGAACAATCTTCAATTTTACAGGCTTGTCACGCATCAGCATATGGAGGACATTTTAGAGGGGTCAGAACAGCTGCGAAAGTGCTGGAGGCCAGATTCTTTTGGCCAACTGTGTTTAAAGATGCACACCTCTGGGTATAGGGCTGCAATGAATGCCGGAGGACGGGAAACATTTCCCGTCGCCATGAGATGCCAATGAAACCAATTCAAGAAGTAGAGGTGTTTGATGTTTGGGGGATTGACTTCATGGGTCCCTTCGTCAGCTCATTCAGCAATAAGTACATACTTGTGGCGGTGGATTACGTGTCTAAATGGGTGGAAGCTTCAGCCTTGCCCACCAATGATGCAAGAGTGGTGGTCGGATTTCTGAAAAAGAACATATTCACCCGGTTTTGGGATACCAAGAGCGATCATCAGTGACGGAGGCACTCACTTCTGCAATAGAGCCTTCGAGAAATTACTTGCTAAATATGATGTGCACCACAAGGTGGCTACTCCTTACCATCCACAGACCAGTGGGAAAGTTGAAGTGTCCAACAGGGAGATAAAGAGTGTACTAACGAAGACTGTGAATGCCACTCGAACTGATTGGGCAAAGAAGCTTGATGACGCACTCTGGGCTTATAGAACTGCGTTCAAAACACCAATAGGTATGTCACCATACAAGTTGGTATTTGGGAAGGCCTGTCACCTACCTGTGGAGTTAGAACATCGTGCTTGGTGGGCGCTGAAACAATTGAACATGGATCCTGAAGCAGCTGGACAAAATCGACTCACGGAGCTGCATGAGCTGGAAGAATATAGGTATCAAGCCTTTGAAAGAACGAGGCTCTACAAGGAACGAATGAAGAAAATGCATGACAAGCACATCGTGGACAGAGACTTTAAACCCGGTGACATGGTACTATTGTATAATTCACGGTTGAGATTGTTTCCGGGTAAGTTAAAGTCCCGATGGTCAGGGCCATTCAGAGTGGTGCAAATGTTTGCAAGTGGAGCGGTTGAGATTGAATCAAAAGACGGGACGAACAAATTCTCTGTCAATGGACGAAGGTTGAAACATTACCTTGGATCAGCTGAAGAAAAAGGGGATACAGTGGTGTCACATTTCAAAGAACCCCAATACGAGAACGAGGAGTAGGAACTCCAATATTTGCGTCGTGCCGTGACGTTAAATCAGGCGCTGCGTGGGAGGCAACCCATGAATTTATTGTAAGTGTAATGTATAACTGTATATTAAAAAAAAAGTACCAAAAAAATGCCTTGACCGCGGTCCCGGCGTAACCGCGGCCGAACCGCGGTCAAACAAGCCCTCTGAAGTTTTCCCACCGCGGTCCAAGCGTGGCCGCGGTAGGACCGCGGTCAAACCACCTCTCTGAACCTGGTCTACCGCGGTCCCAGCGTGACCGCGGTAGGACCGCGGTAGCACAGAGACAGGCCCAGTCAGGTAAGTTTTCTGAATTTTTCAATTTTATTTTATTTTTCTTTCTTTTATCCCCCCCCCCCCTTAACTTAACCTTACCCCACCCCTCATTACCCACTCCAACCACACGACCCTAACCCCCTTTTCTCTCTATTCTCTCATCTTTTCTCCTTCATCTTCTTCCTCCCAAAGCCCTAACCCCCATTCTTCCCCAAATCTCTTCTTCTTCAACTCTCTCATCTCATCTACAAGGTAATCTTTCTTCTTTCCTCTTTTCTTTTCTTCAACTATTTAGTGTAAATTAGTTTTCCTAACCCTAGATTATGTTGTAGTGTATAAATTGTATCTTTTTCTTTGTTTTCTCTTTTATTTGCTTCTTTTAGCCATGGTTGATGATTAGATGTTGGGGTTCATGGTGCTTAACTTGTGGGGGGGTTTTGTATTGGTTTTGGAGACCTAACAATAATTTTTAGGGCAAAGTTTGGTGGTTGGGCCTATATGGCCGAAAATTTGGGATGTGTTGTAAATTTTGGAGCACTTTGTGCTCATTGTAATTGATTGTGGTGGTGGTGGTTGACATATTTCACTGATGAAAGGTTGTGAGTGGTATTATGGGAGAATTTGACATGTTGATGGGGGTGTGAAGTAATCGTAGTAAGGGTGGTCCTATTGGGGCCACTTAGCAATTGGGTATTTTGGCATTGTTGGCCAATGATAACTGTTTAGTGCCAGCGGGTGGCGAAGTCTGAGTAACCATCCGAATGGCACATTTTAGGATGCATCTGATAGTTGCCTTGAATTGTTTGCAGGTAATATGGCCCGAAAAAGGCAAAGAGGCTCGGCAACCACTTCCCACGTGCCAACATATGATGAAACCAGGTTCCAGTCTCAGGGGGCAGAGGACGCATTTCATGCTAAGGCCGCCAAAACCTTTGTCCCTGAGATTGCGGTTGACCGGGCTGCCCTCCGTATGGAAAGTGCAGACATGTATGAGGAAATCCGAAGGAGGGAGATGGAGTTCTTGTTTGATGAGCCTGAGACGGCAAACCCAATGATAGTCAGGGAGTTCTACGCGAACTGCCCGGAACATTTGGGCCGGGAGGTGATTGTGTGGGGCAGGGTAGTGGATGCCTCAATTTGGAAAATTCGCCAGGTCTTGCAGTTGCCCCAGTTTACTGGTGACATTGATCATTACCATGATGCCCAAGGGGTCTCTTGGGACACAAT